TTCAGACCTGTTCTCATTTGAACCTCACAACAATCTTGTAGCATAGGTGTGATTAACTCTGTTTCCGGGCAAGGAAAGGGACATCCAAGACAGAAAACTAATTCCCTCAATTCCCCAGGGTCTGTTAGACGTCAGATTTTGAACCCAGGTCCCTGACTCCTTTCCTGTGCCAGTCTCCCTTCTTTCTTTATGTGGAAATCCTTTAATGGATGAAGGTAACTGCAGAAGACGAGTGTTCCCATACTTCTGTTCTTACCATATGACAACATGTAGTTCCTTCCTGGTGTCCCTTCAGCCTTGGAGTGAGGGGCACCATGTGCTAGGGCTAGGAGCTGAGCTAATCTGCAGCCAGGATATGCAGCTATTTATGGCCAGCATCTGACCTGATTGGCCATAGTTCATACCCTGCCTACTCATTGCTAAGTGAATTACATGCCATGGTGGTCCAGGCAGGAGAAGGAAGGGTCCTGCCTTCCTAGGTCAGTGAGGAGAATGCGGCCTGACCAGGGTCCTTAGCATGGTGTTCTCAGGCTTTATGGTCTGGTCCCAGCTGCCTCGTCTCTCTGTCACCTTCCCACACTCTCCTTTTGCCACACGGAGCTGAACCCTTTATAAGAGATTTACCCCACAACTCCGGAGATTGGAAGTATGGAATGAGACTCATCGGCTAAAGTCAGGGTGTATTCCTTCTGCCAAGTCTCTTCTGCCATGTAAAGATAACACATTCACAGGTTTTAGAGATTAGGACATGGTCATCTTTGGGGAAAACATTACTCAGCCCATCACGAAGGGTCAGAGGTTAATGCGATATGTAATCTAGAGCCTGGAAGAGACTGTATGTAAGAAATATCCTCTGGAAGTCATGGGTTTTGATGAAATAATGGAAGCCATGTGGGTAAGCAAGATAATCTAGAGGGAGAGTGTAGAGTAAGAAAGTTAAAGACATGCCAGCCGAGCATTATGGTCCCCTACATTGATAAAGATCAAGGAGGAAGAGAAGCCAGCAAAGAGGGCCGAGGAGTTGAGTTGGGTTTCTTCCTCTGACACTTCTCAGGGGCTGCTTTCTACTCAGGGCCCCGACTTCCCAGTGACTAGGCTCCTGACTGCTCACACTCAGAGCCCATGGCCAGTCTGCCTACAGAGAGCTCTGCCAGGGACCCCACCACAGTTCTGCCTTGCTGTCCATCGCTTGCCTTAACTTGTCTTTCTCTCAGGCCCAGCCACAGCACCGCAAACCTACCCATACCTCCTGTTCCAAACACTCAGGTTCTTCAGCCCCTGAGTGAATGCTGAGCCACCCCAGCCCAGATTTTCCAGACTTCCACATCTACTGGTTTTTGAATCTTAGTTCCCACATTGACAACGAAGTCTTTGGAAAAAAAGCCATGAACTGGGGCCATCGGGGACTACCCTGCCGGCCCTGGAAATACCAGAAGTTAGGGTAAGTGTCTCTTAGGGTTTTAGAGATGCAAGTTTATCAAAGGAAATCCTGCTTCTTGCTGTGGGGAGTCATGCAGGGAAACCTCTTGCCCAAGAAGTGACTCAGTCAGGAAATGTCAATAATTTCAAGAGTTGTAGATACATTCTCAGATGATAGGCTCACCCGGATCCATGAGGCAATATTTGAAGGCTAGGGAGAGTCCTAATCTTTAAGAGGAGGACCGCTCTGCAAACTGTTGTCGATGCACAAGGAGATTAGTACAGAAACTGACCGTAAGCTTCTAGAAAATTTTATAGTAAATGATACAGCTGTGATATCAAAGTACACGATCATTTCCCCAGGAATGCACTTTTATCATATTTTATAAAAATATTGGTTCATAGGGGCGCCTGGGTGGCGCAGTTGGTTGCGCGTCCGACTTCAGCCAGGTCACGATCTCGCGGTCCGTGAGTTCGAGCCCCGCGTCGGGCTCTGGGCTGATGGCTCGGAGCCTGGAGCCTGTTTCTGATTCTGTGTCTCCCTTTCTCTCTGCCCCTCCCCCGTTCATGCTCTGTCTCTCTCTGTCCTAAAAATAAATAAACGTTGAAAAAAAAAATATTGGTTCATAGCAGAAGTTTTAAAAATCGGGTCTTTATCACAGACAAGTTGAGAAGCACAGGTACAGAGAGCTACGAGACCCACCTCTCAGAGGTTGACCCCTGTCAGAAGGAGCACAAAGGTGATTTGTCCTCTGTGTCTGGGGTGGAGAGGGGTAGGAAGAGTTAGCAAGGATCCTTCTAGTTTTATAATCCAAACCTTAAGAGTTTACTTGGCTGGAGGCCAGCTTCGGATTCATGGCAAACTGATTCTTGGCAAGTGGCAGCCCTCATTACGTCCCTTTTATTTCAGCAGGGAGAAAAAAAGCAAAAGCACCCTTCTATAGGGTGTTTGGGAAGGAGGCACCAGCCATTGTTACTACTATTTACTGAGTGGCGGAGCCAGCATTGGAATCCCACCTGCCTCTGGGCCTTTGCACATGTTGTTCCTCCTGCCTGGCCTTCCTCAGCTACCTACCATCACAGGGATAACTGTTTCACTTCCTTCAAGTGACGCTCATGTATTTACCCCTCCAGGTGCCTGTCCTGCTTCTCCCCTCCTCTCATTCAAGTTCTTTATTGCTCCCTACACTTCTCTTTCATGGCAATACTAACAGAACTAACTGCGCAATCAATTGTTTAATTTCTACCTTTTCAAAAATTGTGAGTTTCCCGGGGGCAGAGACGAAATCTCTCCTCCTCATTCTGCCATCCTCTTTGCCTAGTACGGTTTGGCACACAGTAGGTGTTTCACACGTATATAGAGCAAAGGAATGAGTGAATAAATAAATGAATGAATGGACGGATAGATAACAGCTTCTTCCCTGTCGTTGGAAAGATGGTCTATTCTCCGACTTTTCTGTTTTCTGTCTCTGTCAGCCATTAATCCTGACTTTGTCAACACTGCAAGAAAATAGCCAACAGGCTAAAGATGCTAATTCCCGCCTAGCAGAGCTTTCTACTGTGCTGACATGGAAAACCTCAGATGGGTCCCCCACCCCTGCGTTTTTTCCCCCCCCGGAGCAGTTCCTGGAGGGTAAGCAGGCATCATAATCATTTGCTATCATAAAGTAAATTTGCAAACCTTTGTAATGTACCATTCCAATTTCCTTTGAAAAACATAGACCCAGATAGTCTTTAAATCCTGAACAATGTTTTGTTTCATTTTGCAGATATTTAAGAAATCTGCAGCAGGAATTGTTAATAATAGAAGGAAGAGAGTGGCCTCTTGTGTAAACCCCCGAGTGCTTTGCTTGTGCGTGCATGCATTTACCACCATTAATGATAATAGGAGTGAGGCGCATAATGGTTGTTCCTGTAAATCTATCCAGAGAATAATATACCCCTTAATTTAAAAGAGCTGATAAAGTGTGAATAAAGGCCTCCCGTCTTTACCACTTCTCATTTCTATTAAGAAAGGAATCACATAACATTTTAGGGCTCTAAACTAATTAACTGTGCATATGGATTTGGAGGGCACATGCATAATAGGTTATTCCTGAATCTGCATTCAGAAGAGGCTGGAGCCCAGGGGCCAGGAACGCCGAACGCGACTGAACTTCAGGGTGCTGGCTCTGAATGGAGGGCGCTGTCTGCTCTCCTCTTGGCAAAGGAGGGGAATTGCTAAGTCAGCAGTAGAGAGGGAAGGACGCAGGACTGAGGCAAACAAGACAACTAGAGAAAAGAGATGAAATCCTTTGAAAGACGTGAAGTGTCGTTGCCTTAAAAAAAAACCTGACCGCATGCTGATCAGCCCTGACCCACGATCCTAGGCGTGATTCTGTTACGTACACCATGCTTCTCAGAGACCGTGGTATGAAAACCTGACTACGTTTTGGAAGCAGAAATGAGCAAAAAGGGAGAACAAAGAGATTTTCATTCAATCTAAACATATAAAGCATATACATGCTTTCTACTTGCTGTATCATTTTTTATGTATTATTCACCTACTTCCTGATGCTTACCAGAACCTTCTGGCTACTGTCGACCTTAGCTGATGTTCAGTCTTTAGCTGTGACATACAAAATTAACAAACGACATAAATATATGCTTTGCCATTCTGATATCAATGGTGTAATTAGAGATTTTTCCTTACATTCCTCCTTAGAGAGATATTCACAATCAGCAAAAAGATAATTAAAACAATAATCTGATACATTTCCACCGTACAGCAAAAGAAACCATTTCCGGAAAAGCCACTAATTCAAAACTAAAGAAATTATTTCATATGAACACTTAGTAAGCACTCAAGGAAGATGTGTTCAATTAAATAGAATTGAGTTGACAATTCAAAGAAATCACTCATATTCAATTCGAAGTAGAGCTTTTCAAATGTTGGGAGTTGGAAGCTACTCTTGTATTCACAGTCTCCATGTAGTTGGGGGGGCAAATGTATTTGTCTCCTGTTATTTCTTCCCTCTGTAATTAGATGAAGGTTATATAAACTTATTAAGGCAGTCTCTTTTGACTTTTTAAATTATATGAGCACTCTACGGCAGATAAGCCTTTTTCAAGAGCAGAAATTTTAAAAACA